AGCCAGTGAACTACTCGAAGTAGTGAGTAATAGATTGACATATTTTTCTCTGGCAAGAAGTTCGATGGCAAACCCTCCCTCTTCAAGTTGGCAATCCAACGACGAACCCGTCCGTGGAGGATCATGAATCAGACAAATTTATTTTTCCACTTTTACCCGAGTATTACAACATCCAACTGCCACGCACATGCTCATTATCAGTTTAACTGTAGCTATCGCAAATTTCAATGGTGAAGTCCTCTGAAAATCTTAAATTGTTGTTCATTGTAGATGTGTCTAGTAGTTCCCATTGATTTTGCTTGTAAAGCGGACAGAATGGTGCTAGGTTTACTGTTCCGTGACATCACTGCCAGAAGATGTCAGGAGTGAGGCGTTACTGTATCTGGGCAAAAATGGCCGTTCCTGGACTCAGTGATTGTGGCAAAAATATTTTTATTTTTTACTGTTTAGCGCTAAATTCATTAAATCACAGCATTCATTAAGTAGTTTAAGGTATAAATAATGACCCATTGGTTATTCCTTGCTGACTGGACTTTTCCCTTAAATACATACAGGTCACTGCACAGGGTATTAAATAGTGATTGCGAGTTAATTAATGCACAATAATTGCAGTTATTGTGCCGAATTGTAAAGTCTGCTGGCTACAGGGATTGATGACCTGAGGGAGCACTCCTTTTAACAAACAGGGTGTCTTTCACTAAAGTAGTTGCTCAGCTCCTCTTCAATCTGGTGCAGGGGGTGGAAGGAGTCGTCCATGATAAATTTAGGCTTGGACAACACCCTCCTCTCAGCCACTTCCTTCACCGTGTCCAGAGTGCAACTCAAGACAGACGTGGCCTTTTTCACCAGTTTGTTCAGTCTCTTTCTGTCCCACTTTGTGCTGCCAGGGGCCCAGCAGACAATAGAGTAGAGGAGGGCCGATGCCACCACAGAGTAATAGATGGTTTTAAGCTGGGCCCTGCTCTCTCCAAAGGACCTCAGCCTCCTCAGGAGGTGGATGCGGCTCTGGCCTTCTTGTACAGGGTGTCAGTGTTATTAGTCCAGTCCAGTTTATTTTTGATATTAACATCCAGGTATTTGAAGCTCCTCACAGTTTCTTTGTCCTGCCTCTGGATGTTCATGTGGACGTGAGGTGAGGTCTTCTCCTGAAGTTGATCACCATCTCCTTGGTCTTACTGGTGTTAAGACACAGGTCGTTCTTATCACACCAGTCCACAAAGTTCATGATGACCGACCGGTACTCCAGCTCGTTCCCCTCAGAAACACAGCGCACAATGGCAGAGTCTTTGAAGAACTTCTAAGGTGGCAGCTGTCCTTGTTATAGCTGAAGTCCGAGGTGTAGATGGTGAAGAGAAATGGAGACAGAACAGTGCCCTGGGGGGCCCTGGTATGCAGACTGCCACCTCTGACTGAAAGCCGTACAGCCGCATGTGCTGAGGGCGGTAAGTGAGGAAGTTGATGGCCCAGGCAGCAAAATGTTTGTCCACTCAAGCATCCTCCAGCTTCTCCCCCGCCGGTCTGATGGTGTTGAAAGCGTTAGAAAAGTCAAAGAACATGAATAACAGCACTCCCGGTAGTCTCCAGGTGGGTAAACACCCGCGGCAGCAGGTAGATGATGGCAACTCCTTGGCATGTGGAATTTTGGGAACCAATACCACACAGGAGGTCAGGCTGAGGCTCAGGTTATAGATGTAGCTGAGGATCTCACAAAGTTCATCTGCACAGGTTCCTTAGCAGCCTTGGAGGAATCCCTTCATGTCCAGAGGCTTTCCTCTGTTTCAGTCTCCTCAGCTAGCCTCTCACCTGCATTGAAGTGACTGTGAGGGGGAAGGCAGGTCCGAAGGTATGGATGAGTCAGGGTGGATCTCTGGTGAGTTGGGAGGTTGGAGAGGTGAGGAGAGTTGAGGGCAGGGAGGGGTCAGTGTGAGGTGAGTCAAACTGGGTGAAGAATTGTTAACTCGTATGCAAACTTGGTGTCATTGTCTGCAGCCCTGCTGTTCCTCTGCCCAAAGTCTGAGATGCTTTTGAGACCTCTCCATACATCTCTGACATTGTTCTGCACCAGCTGCCTCTCCATCTTCCTCCCACATTTCAGATGAGCGGATCAAGCACACCAGCCACTAAGGCTAAGTTCACACTGCAGCCATAAGTGACCCAAATCCGATTTTTTTTTTTTTTGCCCATATGCAACCTGTATCGGATCTTTTCATGGCAGTCTAAACAACACAGATCTGATTTTTTCCAATGCGGTCCGGGCCACTTGGCTATGTGGTCCTGAATCCGATACGAATCTGATCTTTTCAAATGCCAGGTCGCATTCATCCGACCTGAACGCCATTAGTAACCGACAAAGGTCACTATTCTGGTTCTTGCTATGAAGAATTAAAAAGAAAAACAACTATGGCAGACAATGATGTGGAGAGCAGTATTTATGTTAAACCATCTTGAAAATATTGTGTTCTTAAGGTTGGGGAAGATCATTAGATGCACTACCATCCATGTTTACTTCCGTAAACACAGAGTACGGTGGCCTGCGATGTCACTACATCCTCTACTGGCATACGGGACACTTGCATACAGGGGGTAACGAGGGCCGATCAGCCTCTCACAACCACCTCCCGATCAGGAATCGTGAGATCAGGAGAAAATCAAACATGTTTGCTTTTCAGTCAACCGTCGTGGGCAAATCTCTCAGTGCACATGCAAAAACAGGGATTCTTCTTCTTCCTCTCAGATGAAAACACAGAAGCATTTTAGTTAAAATGGAGCTCTTTCTTTAAAATTGACAGGCCGTAGTAGTAACCACGTTTGCCCAGCCATGCCTTTGTTCAAATATGTTGCCGCCTTTTCTTTTTAGGGCTTTAAACACAAAATTGCAAAGGCAGCAAGTTTTAATGTAGTGAGCTTCTTGTTCCTCTTCTACTGGTTTGGCTTCTAGATAGAGGAGTCCCAGTAGTTCCATCTCTTTCCAGGTCCAGTCCGATGTGGCTTTTAGATGTGCAGTGTGAGCAGGTAGATCGGATCAGAGCGTCGGGCTGCACATGCATCATGAGCTGTGAACTCACACTGTACGACGAAACCCTGCGGTTATTTGGTAGGTACGTTTTTGCATCTCTAATTTTCCCTTGCCTACAATAAACATGTATAACGTTGATATTCAATTTGAAACAAAAGGGATGGATCAAGTCTTTTGATGTGAAAATGCTGTAAAATCTTCACTAAAATCATGATATTATAAAACACTGGGCATTGCATATTTGAAATCATTGCAGCTTAGGACTTTACATATTAAAACAGGGGGCTGATTGAGACATTTAAGAGAATTCAACTGGTTTACATGTAGTCTAAACTTTTTCACAAAAGTAAAATGAAACATTACACACACAGGATTTATTCTAAAGGCTTTATTACTCTAACAAATTAAATAAGAACATATGATACAAGGTGTCTTTGATTATAATATAGCCTATTATTAACATTTAAATACAGTATCCGATGCCATGAAGCTTTAAACCTAATATTCCCCAAACTTTCCCATTTCTTTTCAAGCTTTTTTTTATAACTATTTTTTAAGTTCAAATGGTGTAAGGAAACAGTTCAGCTGACATTACTGTGCATATCAGAGCCCAAGCAGTGATCAGTGTGTCTGCACTGACAGAGACGACACACCTAAGGTTGTTGAACTGAAGTAATGTTGTGGCTAAAGTACTCAAAGTGCTTTGAATTTTGTGAAATAAAAATAACATGGCTAATGCTGATGAAATGCTAAAAAGTTATGATTTCTTTACAGCAAGTCTGTGCAAACACACTGATGTTTCTAGGGTTGAATTCTAGTATAAAATCCAATTCCATCACAATGAATTCATTACTTTCTGCAGTTTTTATATAAAAGAAAGATACTTTTGCTTTAAAATTAGAATTATGGTTAGTTAACCAGATGTTGGACAAATGTTCCCGTAATTTTAACATTCCAAAAATCAATATTTCCAATCTGGATATTTACTGGGCAGTTGTGTCAGCGTCTCTGTGTAAAGAAGGAGAGACCGACGAGGATATAAGCACATGACCAGAAAGTGCACAGTAATAATACTGCTGTTTGAATTGCTCAATATTTTCATCCTGATGTTGCCTTAGAAGTTTTACCTTTAAAAAGTGGTAACAGCAAACAATCTGCTATCCGAGTGTTCCTAGCTGAAAATTAAATGCGAAATAAATCCCAGAAATAAAACTATTTTTCATTACTGTCAAAACAAATGGAAAGCTTAAAGAGAAAAAAAAAAAAAACCATTCCACAACATGTTCAATCATTAGGTGACGTAACTCCTCGTCCTCCCAGTTCTTGCCTCTTTCAGTGGCTTCATTGTCATCATTGTCTGGTTATGTTCTTTCCAAAGTGCCCATCGTTGACTCAGTGTGCTTTCTGCCTCTGTAAAGTCTTTGATTTTATTTTGTTGGCAGCAGTTGGCTGGAAAAAAAAACAAAAAAAACAAACACTGCTCCTAGAAGATCATAAAATAGAACGTCAGGAGCTGAATAAGCAGATGATAAATTTAATGTATCGGACTGTAAAAACAACAGGAAATAAAGTGTTCTTTGCTTCTGCTTAACCGTTTGCTGAGAAATACAGTATGAGGATTCTCTCCATCAGGCAGCAGATGACTGATAATGTTTTTTGGGGGATTTTTCTGAGCGGCTGCTCTAGTATGAATGTGATGTACCTTGTGTTTTAGTGACTGGGAGGAAAATGACCATGAGTGTTTATAGACTGTTGCAACTTCTCCTCTTTGGCCCTTCTGCTGTGGCAAAGCTGCAAAGCAAAAGAAAAAAAGAAGAAAAAAATTCCCACATTACTCTTCTGTGTTATTACTGTTTTAAAATGTCCCATTGGTCAACTCGTGAATTTCCACTCCTCATTTCATTATGTCCCTGCTATGGCTGGGCGATAAACCAGATTTTTACAGTTACCATCAATTACTATGATAGCCGGCAACAATTTTCCCATGTAGGTAAAAGAAATACACTTAATTCTGCCGTTTTTCCTGTTTGCTCTGGTGGCTGGTATTTCCTTCCCCTTTAAGACACTGCAGCGTGTGTCTAATCATGTGACTCCATTAGTCAGATGCATAAACAAAGAAAACACAATTTTAGCCTTTCCCCCACTTAGAAATCATGGAGGGGTCTAAAATTGTCATCGCAGGTGGGTGTCCACTGTGAGAGACGTAATCTAAAAAATAAATCGAGAAATCCCCATGTATGATTTTTTAACTATTTATTTGTATGATAACGCCGCAAATAAGTATCTGAAACCCTGAGAAAATCAATGTTAATATGTGGTAAAGTAGCCTTTCTTTGCAATTACAGAGGTCAAATATTTCCTGTAGTTTTTCACCAGGTTTGCACACACTGCAGGAAGAAGTTTGGCCCACTCCTCCACACAGATCTTCTGTAGATCTGTCAGGTTTCTGGGCTGTCGCTGAGAAACACAGAGTTTGAGCTCCCTCCAAAGATTCTCTATTGGATTTAGGTCTGGAGACTGGCTAGGCCACACCAGAACCTTGATATGCTTCTTCCAGAGCCACTCCTGGGTTATCCTGGCTGTGGGCTTCGGGTCATTGTGATGCTGGAAGACCCAGCTTCGACCCATCTTCAATGCTCTAACAGAGGGAAGCAGGTTGTTCCACAAAGTCTCACAATACATAGCCCAAGTCATCCTCTCCTTAATACAGTGCAGTCGCCCTGTCCCATATGTAGAGAAACACCCCCAAAGCATAATCTACCACCCCCATGCTTCACAGTAGGGATGGCACTCATCATTCTTCTTCCAAACACAGTTAGTGGAATTATGACCAAAATATTTTATTTTGGTCTCATCTGACCACATGACTTTCTCTCATGACTCCTCTGGATCATCCAAATGGTCATGCAATGCATGATTTCAAACCATGATGTCTTAGTGTATTACCAAGCTCTTTTCAGGTCATTGACCAGCTCCTCCCATGTAGTTCTGGGCTGATTTCCCATCTTTCTTAGGATCAATGAGACACCATGAGGTGAGATCTTGCACGGAGCCCCAGTATGAGGGAAATTAATGGTCATATTTACCTTCTGCCATTTTCTACTGATTGCTCCAAAAGAGGACTTTTTTTCAACGAGCTGCTTGGAAATTTCCTCGTAGCCCTTTCCAAACTTTTCAATTTTGCTTCTAGTGTCTTTGGACAGCTCTTTGGTCTTGGCCAAGTTAGAAGCTGGATTCTTACTGACTTTATGAGCAGGTGTCTTTACACAGCTAACGACCACAAACAGTTGCATCTAATTTAGGATAATAAAAGGAGTGGAGGTGGACATTTTGAAGGCAGACCAACAGGCTTCAGGGTCAGAATTCTAGCTTACAGACAGGTGTTCAAATACTTATCTGGAGCTGTAAAATACAAATAAATAGTTTTTCTTTTTTAAAATCATACTTTGTGATTTCAGATTTTTTTTTAATACTATGTCTCTCACAGTGGAAATGCACCTATGATGACAATTTCAGACCAATAGTAGTGTGCTCAAATACTTCAATGAATGCACAGTATTCGTATGAACATAAAAATGGATCCTTCAGAGAAAGTTGCTGCAGTCTGCGGAACAGCATCAGAAAACTACCATACTTTATAACCATCACTGCTCTCTACAAGCTCAGTCTCTGATGTTAATTGGGTGGGATTTTTTGTTCTCATGAATATTTTTTTTACATTTTTCACTTCATCCTGGTCATTTGAACATTTCATTTGATCCACGTATGCAGTTTTATAGCTGAAGACTTTACAGACTGTATATAAACGCTGGTTAAATCAAAAATCGATGCTTCTCTCACCGTTCTCTTCTCCATGAAGCTAGTTAAAAATTCATCGATATCAATGCGCCCCTCAAGGAAGTTTTCAGCCGTCTCCTCCGACTCCTCCTCTGCCTGGTGGGCGGCGACTTTTAACCGAGCCTGCAGGGTGCTTAGACTGCAACTCTGGTGAAATGTAATATGAAGAGATCATCTCAAAAGTCATCAATCACTCTATAATATAACAGAAACATGCACCCGTTTTTACCTCACTGAGTTCATGCTGTCTCTGCATCTTTGTCTCAAAGGCCGACTTCATCTGTGTCAGCTGTTCAAACTGTGCAAAAGAGACAGAAAACCCAATTAGCAGTGATGAGAACCTGTCTGCAGTGCATGTGCAAGCATGAGAGAAACACTAACCTTGTAAAGCATCTCTTGTCTTTTTCCTTCTAGCTGTGGCTCCATGTGGAGGTTCTTTTCTGCAAAATGTATGAATTTTCATAAAACTTCACTAAACTACAGTCCCTTCATCAAAGAATGGAAACAGAACAACAAAAAACAGTAAAGTAGCTTACTAGCCATCTCCACTATACTGTTGACCAGTTCCTCTTTATCACTGGTGACTTGCTTGAGTTGTGGCAAACTCACAAAGAACTCCAGCAGCACATCCTCATTTTCAGACATATCTGACAACTGTGTCAGACTGATGATAGGATGAAAAGATAATTAAAAAAGCTACTAAGGCAGAAAAACAATTAACTGTTGACTAAATCTAAAAAAAAAGTTCCAGAATACTTTACGTTTTGTCACAAAGTTCAGGAAAAGACTCAGGAATCTCAGGCATCTTGTACATGTGTCCGTTCAGCCCCGCCTGAAAAAGAACAGTTTAGGATAATATTTTGTCTTTAGTGTCAGGATTCATACATTCTACATAAACTATGTGTTTAAATTATTTAACTTTTAAATGCCTTTTTGCCAAGTAAAAAAAAACATATAAGGAATATTACGTTACGGACCAACACAAAGTGGTCCATCGCTGTATAATGGGAGGTTATGTAATCAAACAGTTTAAAGGTGTTTTACACAAAAGAATCTGAAAAGTGTGGAGCGTAAATCTCTTGTGAGCCAATACATCCAACTTAATGCATACATTGTAGCTCTGGTTTCAAAGCAGTGAGGTTGAATATTCATCCTGAGGGCCATTATTGGCCCCTGGACTGATACAGAGCAACAAAAAAGTATTAATACAAAGTTGAACAGTCAGCAAAAAAGACTGATTGTAAGGAGACTATTATTAGAGCAACATTTTTACAGACTAATTAAAATAGTCTTTTAAAAGTAATTAGAGACAAAGTCATTGTCGTTAAGGGAAAATACACTTTATTTAAGCTTTCTTTCAAAGCAGATAGGACCCTATCAGTCCAAAGACCTGTTGCTGCAAGTAACGTTTATTTTGTAAATTGATTACTCCGTTGGTTATTTTATAGTCAAAAAGAACTTTTTATGAAATCAAACCAGATGAAACCAAAACTTTTCCACTTGAGGAGTTCTGGAAAGAGCATACTGACAGACAAAAAAGTTTGTTTTATCTCAAATGCAAAATGTTTATATATACCACATTTTTCGGACTATAAGCCGCTACTATTTGCAAAAGTTTTTAACCCTGCATTTTATAGTCCGGTGTGACTTTTCTAGGGATATATCATGATTTTTGTGATATCGTAGGAGGATTTGTTTTGGTTTGCTCCGCTGTTGTATGGCACTAGTTTGACTGGCAGAAGGGAAAGTGATCAGAAACACAGTATGGATGGAAAAGAGCGGTATGTTGGTCACATGTCCGTTTGCTAGGCAAAGTAGTGCCGTATGATTTGGCCCAAAAAAGAAACCAGATAAGCAAGAGCAAGACAAGTATTGCAGGAGCAAAGGAGGCTTCCATTCACAAACCCTCATTATGGCAAACAAAAGAAATATATATAATGCAGCTTTTAAATTAAAGGCAGTCAATGTGGCGCTCAGTGAGGGAACTAGAGCTGCTTCATGTAACCTTGGTATAAACCAATCAATGGTGAGACGTTAGAGACGCCAGCATGCTCAGCCCAAAAAGATGAAAACAAGTTTTTAGAGGTAATAAAAGCAGATAGCCCTAACTTGAAGACTTAATTTAAGACTGGGTGAACACACAGAGAGCAAATAGGCGAGGTGTTTCAACTGTGCAGATCTGACTGAGAGCCAAAACAGTCACCAATAAAATGAAGATTGTAAATTTCAGAGGTGGACAATCGAGCCACAGATCAATGAAGCGAAAAGTTTTGTCCAAGTGTGCCAGTGGATTCTGACAGCGTGGAGAAGTGTCTAAACATCCACAATCACTAAAGTATTTTGAAGGGCTGGACTGCTGCGTGATGAAGAGGAGGACACCACCACGGCCCTTCAAAGGGTGTTTGATTCTTACACTGACAATGAAGAGTTCTTTGGTTTTGAAAGCGACAGCGAAGGAGAGAAGCGGAGAGTGGATGAAGAAAGCCGACCTGAGCCTGTTAGTTTCCAACAATGAAGAAGAGGACTTTGATGGTTTTAGTTGGTAGGAAGAAGACAATGCCGATGGTGATGAATTACCGACTTTTCTTCTTGTGAAAGCGTAAGCTGCAACTTAGCCCAAAAGGTCGGCCAAATCTATTTTATCTAGTGTGCTGTATGTTATTTTTATACAGTACATTTGTTACTCCTGAAAACAGCACCATAAATGTTTCATAGAGTACTTGTAATTACTGGTAGTTGTACATATATGTAAAAAGTTATGCAAATATGTGGCGGTAGCTTGTTTTTCAAACAGTTAATAAAAGGCATGTGTTCTCAAACAGCCATTTTGTTCCTGACTATCTCCTTTGTGCATATTCTCTTACATAATTAAACATGAAAACATCTGCAGCGTTTAGTCAGTCACGGCTAATGTATGAACAAAACAGGATTTTCCACAAATTTAAGCTTGTGCGTCTAATATTCAGCTGCGTTTTGTAGTCCAGAAAATACGGACCATATATACATACATCATATATACATACATGCCTTTTGCTCTGTCAGCAAAAGGCATGTTTCAGAATCTCTATACTCCAGTTAATGATTAATCGTTTACTACATTTCAATAATCAATTTATCCTATTGGTCGTTTCAGCCCTACAAAGACCCTTTGAGAATTGCATATTTTATGCATTTATTTAGTAATATAAACATGCTAAACCTAGCCATGTTTGCATGAATGTTATGACACATCCCTCTCCTACAGGAATCTGACATTTTATCTGTTAAATCCAAACTTTGGATAGAACGTTTTTCTTGGGCCTGAAAGTAGTGATAAAAAGTTTGGACACCACTGCTTTACACTATGTAGGGAGCTGTAGTTCACTAGAGGGTAAACCTCTACCCAACAGCTTCTTATTCCTTTTCTCCTTGTAACTTACCCCCAGCCATCTCCCCAACAATTCAATTTGATAAAGACATGTTTTAGGGTAATGTAGATACAATTATGTGAATAAATGCTTTTCATATTTGTTACACAAATTACACAAAGAATGCAGTGATAGGATTTCCACTGCATCTAAACCAAACATACGGAGCATGGTAATATAGAACCAGAGCTCTCTGGTTTAATCATTGAAGGTCGGGCTCCTAGAGAGCAAAACTTCTGCTATATTGACAAACATAATCAAATTATGTTTATAAGTCAAGCCGGTGCCATGGAGACCAACCAGAAAATCCAGTCAAAGCAGCATCTAATTTGCCTAACCAGCAAAGAAAAAACAAAACTAACTTATCTGCTATATGGATACATTATTGAAGACATAGACTATTATAATAGGTTAACCTGGAATAAATAAAATATTTATTAGAATTTCACCATCCTTTAGATAACGAACAAGTTGTATCTTTAGCTTTAACTCTAGTGTTACAGCTATAAATACTTTACTTCCTTGTTTAAAAAAACAATATCGTCCCTTGTCACTACGCGGTCCGTAACGGATGTAGGATCCATACCATCAGCATAGCTGCGCATGATTAAGCAGATATTCATCTAGGTCACTATAAATAATGGTATTAAAAGTACTTATTTCTATCCTTAAATCAGCAAAGAAAGTCAACTACATCTTTAAAAAAACATTCAATTACTTTTCTAAGACAATTGGATCATTTTTAGATACCTTCCATTAATCTGCTTGTCTGACATCACTGGACATGCACAGAACAGTCCCACAAAGTAAGAATAAACATATGTATCTGCATTTTAGTTGTTTTCTTTCTCTAGATTATGCACTATATACCATATGCTTAAAACAAAAAAGCAAAAATACAACTCAAAAAGACTAAATTCATATATAAATCCAAAGCCGTAAAAGTTAACTCCAGGAAGTAGCGTCGGATCCCATTTCCGGGACAGACCAGGCACAAACAAGTGGTTAAACAGAAAGGATTTTAATATATTTATTTTCTCCAAATAATAAATGATTTTTTTAGACAGAAAAGAATAATTTCAATCTTTTTTATGCAGTAAAATTGAGAGCGACACGGCTGTACATCTGGTTACGCATGCACAAACGAGCTGATGGTACGGAACGGGTAATGAGAACCCTCTACCAATGTGAAAACCTCCTAATGGGTGTGTACCTGTGAGTCTCCAGTTGGTACAGGTAGAGGTAACTCCGTTATCAATCCGTATGGGGCTGGAGCTCGAGGTACACCATGAACCATATCCACCGCTGGATGAGGCATCGGGGCTTGAGATGGAGCTGGACCAGGTCCAGGAGGGGGAGTCTGGCTGGGACCCACATGACGAGGACCATAATGAAAAGCCTGGGAAGGGTAAGGAGGCTTGTACATGCTGCAACCAGGAAAGAGGGAGAACATCATAAATAAAACACTTCCAAAACATCCTTTAAATATCATGAAAGGTCAGTGAAATTCTAACCAGATACCAAACTAATATCAGAGTTACTTCTTGGAACAGTTTGTGAATCAGATCAGTGTTAAAGATCACCTGCAGTCTAATGAAATGAAAGGGAAGAAAAGGGAAACTCACTATGGAAAGCCTGTGGGGCCAGCAGACATTAAGACAGGAGGACTTTTCCAGAACTCGTCGAGTAGACTCTGGATGACTTTACCCAGATCTGAGTGCATACTGAACTATAACACACAAAACAAAGAGAAATACACTCAGACTTTTCCAATAAAAATAGGAAAACAACCTCTTTGGTATAAAAAGTGTTTATAGAAGTTACATTGTTTTACCCGGGAAACAAAAAAACATTAAATGGAAGTGAGATGTGAGGTACTTAGATGTATAATGAGGGCAAACAGAGATAACAGTATATACTTCACATTTTTACTTTCTGTTCCCATTAAGTGTCCATCTGACTAAAGCCTTAAACTCATTTCAGTTTCAGTTTTATTAAGATATATTTCATTAACCTGTTTGTCTGGTTTTACGTGTTGATTCATGCACCTGTAATCAGAAATACATTTTGCATACATCCAACCATCCACATAGCACTCCTAAAAAAAATACTTTCAGAATGTTCAGAAAAAAGTCATTTTGCAAATCTGAAAGAACACATCGTTTTATGAGAGGCTGCTACTTACATTAGCGATGAGGGGGCTGGTGATCACTGTGCCATTATTGCTGTCTATTAAATGATGACCAACTGGGGGGTAGACACTAACCACCGGCTTCTCCTGAGGGAACTGAGGAGGCAGCAAACTGAGGACAAAAGCAAGCAGGGTTAGTATTACATGCGCCGAATTATGAAGCCATACCTCTGTAAGTAGTTTCCAAACAAGCAAACTATTAGATATCTTACAATATTTGAAATACTTCATGCATTTCAGAAATGAAAATGTAACAAAGAATATTGAATATTTAGATTATAAAGCTTAACATTAATGTGTTTACATTAGACATGCACCAGTAGGGGTCATCTGCTTAGTGGCGATTGTAGATCACCGATCGCAGCATCAAATGCATAAATTCAGAGTACATGAACCAGCAGTTGATGTACCCTGACATTCTATTATTAGGAATCAAAATTATAGTAGAGAAACTATCATGAATAGACCATAGTTTTAGGGAAGGAAACTGTAGAGACTAGCTTTTAAAAAACAATTCTGTTGCCAGGGGATGAAGAGAGGGAATGTTCCTAAAGGGGTCATAGAATGCAAAGCTGAGTTTACATGGTCCTAGATGAATAAAAATAGTTCAGTGGATGAAATGGACATACAGTGAAGTTCAAAACCCATCGACACCTCCTTTCTCTGCGAATCTCACAATTCTAAACTTCCACAATAAAAATGGGTGAATTCAAACGAAGCCACGAACTGGCATCAATTCGGGGTTGTTGCCTTATTAGGTTCTGGCCTTTACTTTTGTCTTGCCCCGAAATTGACATACAGACCAGCCCACTGGTTCACTGACCAAGTGGGCCTTTCAACTGGGGGGGTGGGGGGCCCCAAGTCTCCGGGAGTCTCCTTGACATAGATAGTTGTTCATGGATGCACCGTAGTCGACCAAAATCCCGGACGATTTAGAAATTCCCCCCGGAAATTTTTTTAGGTGTGTAAAGAAGGACATGTCCTGGAAAAAGGGGACGTCTGGTCACCCTACCATATCAACAGTTTGATGTTTCAGTGAGTGAGGGCTTGTTGCTATGATGCGTCTTTGCTCAGCAGCTTCACTCGTTGTAAACCAACCTATCAGAGCACAGCTCATCTAAATATTCATCAGCATACCACATAAGGAAGAAAACTTGTTTCATTCTCTTAACCAGTCTGCATTAGGGCTCATAGAACAGCAAATATGCCATTTTCAGCCCAACCAACGTTACACATCCTAATCAGAGACCTTAAGGACCAGCACCAAACAACCTATATAATCATTCTATGACCCCTTTAAGAAGTTAGTAGGTGCCTTTTTAAAAAGCCATTTTAATTTGCAATTAAAATTTCAATTTTAATCAATTCATTTCAAACAGAGAAAGACAAAACAAAAATATTATACATGGGGGACATGGTGTCATTCTGTCCAAATACTGCTGTCCTACTCCTGCCCATTATCTTCCCTCCATGTTCCTTCAGTTCTCCGCAGTTAGCCTAGCTAGCCTGTGTCAGCTGTAGTCTCTCCCCATCCTGGCATTGTTTCCGCAGTGCTTCTCCCATCTACTGCTGTGTTCTTCCGCTCTTGAACAGCCTTATCTTCTCGCCGCGGTGCTCTGTCTGCCCAACGGGCTCCTCCGATCTCCTGCTGTGGTTCCTTAGCTCCAGAGGGTGGCACAGCTGGCCCCCCTTATCCCGGTTATGGTACCCTCTCCCAGTGTTCTCACACTGATTCCCATCTGCTTCTGTCTCAGCTCAGGGCAAGAAGCTCCTCCATTCAAAGCTATGTCCTCCCCACATACTAGAACGCGCAACTCAGAGCAGAGCGGACTACGCCATTTTGTTCAATACATTTTGGACTTCAACCTGACTACCTCATGTCTCATTCACCTGTAAATAAACTATTTTATTATTGTAGCTTTCAAGGTAGCCTGCTAGGTTTAGCAATACTAACCATACAAGTGCTAGCATTTTATTTTTATGCTAAAAAAAGAATTATTCACAATAATGTTGTGAATAATTCTGGCTATGGCCAAACCTGATGAGCGTACACGAAGAGGAGGAAGGTCAAAGATGAAGGCACCTGATCGTTTTTTTTTTTTTTTTCATTTGGACCAAATGGCAGGGATTGGTCAGAATTTTTACTGGCTTGCAGCTCTCACAGATGCCTGAGGTTTTTATTCCCTTTCTTTTTTCTGAATACATAAAGTATTGACCACTCTCAGGGTGGAAGGACTATTTTACTCAATATAACAAAACAAGAATAACCAAACATAAGAGTAATGAGAGTAAGGTTTAAAACCTTGAGTATTTTGTTAAAAAAGAGGCACATCATGCTATTTGTTTAACCCTGTACCAGTTTTCTGAAATATTGTTTTGATGCTACACAACGACAATACTAAGCTTCACTTCATAGCTCCCTTAGATCTGCTTTACCGTCCTATTTTTTGAAAAGCTGACAAGGGTTTGGGATATGACCAACTAGATTTAGAAATCAGCAGGGGCAGCACAGACAGCGGCTTGTCTTTGTGAGTTTATGCCAGAACTGTTCTGAAAAAAAGAAGCTCAAAGTCCAAGAGTAGTCTTTATCTGTTATATAATCTACAGTGGAAAATAAGTATTTGGTCAATAACTAAAGTTCAACTAAACACTGTGTAACATAACCTTTGTTGGCAATGACAGAGGTCAAACGTTTCATGTAAGTCTTCACCAGGTTTGCACACACTGTAGCTGGTATTTTGGCCCATTCCTCCATGCAGATTTCCTCAGAGCAGTGATGTTTCAGGGCTGTCGCTGGGCAATACGGACTTTCAACTCGGTGTTGAAAGTCTGTGTTAACAGTCAATTTAAACCTAAGATATACTCACATGTTAACACTAATGGTGGAGTTGTTGACTGTAAATGGTAATCTGTACTCAACATCTTTCTGGATTTCTGTAAGGCTGTGGAAAAAGAGAAGAAAAAAAAAAAACAATCATTGAGCATTAAACTAGGAAAAAATGTGGGATTTAAAAAAAACAAAAAAGTTTATGAAAAATAAAGACAGTTTTTTCCCCCTTATTTTAACAGATTTTAATATTTCAAGAATACATCAAAGACAAAAAAGGCCTGACGTTTCTTTAATAGTGATAGCAGCTTTTTAATGTAATACTTTAATATTAATGTAGTTTTTACTACAGTCAAAGATAGTTAAGAGAAAAATGCCCATTTCAATCTCTGTTTAACTGATTGTAAGCTGCAGTGAAATCTGTGAAGAAAATGTCTTAAGATGTCCAAGAGGAAGTTATTTCTGTAATACCATAAAAAAGCAGGACATACTGTGCTACTTAGGATATATAGGATATATAAAATTGATAATAAAAAACATAAATGTAGACTGCATGGCATTTTTTGTTTTGAAACCTCCAGAATACATAAAAGACTTTTACCTTAGATTTTGAACTAAAGAACAAATGTATCAAAAACTGTGAAATTTTAGGCATTTCTTTAAGTTTTCATTATCTGATGTCCTTTCCTATCTAACAATCATTCAAGTTCAAACTAAATTGACTTAAAGAAGGGACTGTGCCTTTTCTGTAGCTGGTTCCAAACTGAAGTGATTTTCTGCGACATATCAGGCAGGTTCCTCTATGATCATTTTCAAATCTCTTAAAAACTCATCTATTCTCTTTCACTTTTAACATTTAAAAGAATGTTGGCATTTGTTGATTTTTCTTAACGTTTCTATGTTTATCATGCTTTTTTTTTTTTACTGAAGAATATATTGGTATTTAAAGTTTTAATAACACTTTTAGTAGGCAGGATTTCTTTTTATGCCCAAAACAAAACAAAAATAAACTTTTTACTGATGAAATAATAAAATGTTAATCTGACTAAATTAATTAAAAAGGAACAATGGTGGTTGGTGCTTGATTGAAACCAAATTTTCTATTCCATTAATGTGCAACAGCTTATACTTATACTGACTTATAGAGTAAAAACCTTTGGTATTTAGTGAATCAAATTGTGTTGGAAATCACATGCAGTTTGCCTTAAATGATTCCTTTCTTTTTCTAAAACAACCGTGTAATTTCATTTTATGTTGGATCTTTCCCATACATATGAAACTATACCTTGACATCAGGATGTTAAATGCAGAATCTAGAGCAAATTATATCCATATTAGCTTTTTTTTCACTGTCCTGTCTGGCGATGTGGCAATAAGAATAACTGTCTTGTTGCCAAAAAGAGTCCAACAAATTTTGCTTTCACAAATGGAGCAGTATGGCTATCGCTATAGTGTTCCTCTTGATTTATGCATATCAATAGCTTTATTATAATTCATGCAGGGAGTTTTACAGATTTTATGGACACTGCATTGTAAGTAGAACAGGAAAGGAAAAACAGAAAAATAAGGAGAAAAGATTGAAGAAAGAGGAGATAAAAGGGGAGATAAAATATCTCAAGTCTGCTTCATCACCTGCAAAGAGATGTAAAAAGAACAGCACAACCAACAAATATAGTATAAGAGATACAATAAAGTAACACCTTGATACTATCGCTGGAGTATAAGTTGTAATATTTAATCTGACATGTATAATGTAGTAGCTGAAGATAAGAATATGGGTTTTCTGTATGGAAGTGAATCTCTAAGTACCTGGAACCAAGCATCTGTAGTTGTTTATGAGAGTGTGAATGTTAACTTTAGCCAAAGGAAAAATGCTCAATGGTGGTTGTGAAGAGCCGAAGACGCACCCCTCCAGAGCACAGAGGCAAACGCTGGGGGACCCAAAGCCCCAGACACTCAAAGGGACACCAAGAGCAGAGGTTCCTAGGAGGGGCCAATAATGATGATGCTTTTAAAATGTATATGCCTTTTTATGTTTTAGCTAATGAATGGAAGATCTGCAGTGCAAACAATAATATTAGATGATAGAGACTGTTTTACGTCCTTTTGTGAACTGTTTTTTTTTTTAGCCATTAACAGATGTATTGTAGCTATTTGCTAGGAAGTAACCAAAGAAGTTGACCAGATCTCTGTCTTTTTTTTTTTTCTTTTAACAGTGCCCTGTCTGTCACTCTCTAACTCCTAGTAAACAAAAGCTAATACTTTAATCTCCACCACTAACAAGCTCATCCTAAAACTACAAGCGTGACACCCTCAGGGTGATCACAGGACATGGTCAGCAAGCTACAACTTGTACAATCAGACTGGAAATATACACTGTAGCTGCCACTGATTGATCTTATTAGCTTCAAAGCTAACAAAGCTGAAACTAACACTAACACTAGCTGCTTTATAACTACGTTGGCTGTGAG